GCGAGTGACTGCCACTTCCTGGTTGTATTCACAGATGAGTTTCTGGATGACGTTTGTCAAATCGTCGTTCTCCGTTTCCCTGACGACGTGGAGCAGCGTCTGCATCACGGGTCGAATGAACGGACGGATCGCTACTTTGGCTGAAACACAGAGACACAGAGAGTTACAGAGAGACACAGAGACAGTGACACAGAGAGACAGAGACACAGTGACACAGAGACAGTGACACAGAGAGACAGAGAGACACAGAGAGACACAGAGACAGAGAGAGACAGAGACACAGAGAGACAGAGACACAGAGAGACAGAGACACAGAGAGACAGAGAGACAGAGACACAGAGAGACAGAGACACAGAGAGACAGAGAGACAGAGACACAGAGAGACAGAGACACAGAGAGACAGAGACACAGAGAGACAGAGACACAGAGAGACAGAGACACAGAGACACAGACACAGAGACAGAGACCCAGAGAGACAGAGAGACACAGAGAGACAGAGAGAGACAGAGAGACAGAGACGCAGAGACAGAGACACAGAGAGACAGAGAGAGACAGAGACAGAGATACAGAGAGACAGAGACAGAGACACAGAGAGACAGAAACACAGAGAGACACAGAGACAGAGACACAGAGAGACAGAGACACAGAGACACAGAGACAGAGAGACAGAGACACAGAGACAGAGAGACACAGAGACAGAGAGAGACAGAGACACAGAGACGCAGAGACAGAGACACAGAGAGACAGAGACACAGAGACAGAGAGACAGAGACACAGAGACGCAGAGACAGAGACACAGAGAGACAGAGACAGAGACACAGAGAGACAGAGACACAGAGAGAGACAGAGACACAGAGACACAGAGACAGAGACACACAGAGACACAGAGACAGAGACACAGAGAGACAGAGACACAGAGAGACAGAGAGACAGAGACACAGAGACACAGAGAGACAGAGACACAGAGAGACAGAGAGAGACAGAGACACAGACAGAGAGAGACAGAGACACAGAGAGACAGAGACAGAGACACAGAGAGACAGAGAGAGACAGAGACACAGAGAGACAGAAACACAGAGACAGAGACACAGAGAGACAGAGACACAGAAACAGAGACACACAGACAGAGACACAGAGACAGAGAGACAGAGACACAGAGAGACAGAGACACAGAGACAGAGACACAGAGAGACAGAGACACAGAGACAGAGACACACAGACAGAGACACAGAGACAGAGAGACAGAGACAGAGACACAGAGAGACAGAGAGACAGAGAGACAGAGAGACAGAGACACAGAGAGACAGAGACACAGAGACGGAGACACAGAGACGCAGAGAGACAGAGACACAGAGAGACAGAGACGGAGACACAGAGACGCAGAGAGACAGAGACACAGAGAGACAGAGACACAGAGAGACAGAGACACAGAGAGAGACAGAGACACAGAGACACAGAGACACAGACAGAGACACAGAGACACACAGAGACAGAGACACAGAGACAGAGACACACAGACAGAGACACAGAGACAGAGACACAGACAGAGACACAGAGACAGAGAGACAGAGACACAGAGAGACAGAGACACAGAGAGACAGAGACACAGAGAGACAGAGAGACAGAGACACAGAGAGACACAGAGACGGAGACACAGAGACGCAGAGAGACAGAGACACAGAGAGACAGAGACACAGAGAGACAGAGACACAGAGAGACAGAGACACAGAGAGACAGAGACACAGAGAGACAGAGACACAGAGAGACAGAGAGACAGAGACACAGAGAGACACAGAGACGGAGACACAGAGAGACAGAGAGACAGAGACACAGAGAGACACAGAGACGGAGACACAGAGACGCAGAGAGACAGAGACACAGAGAGACAGAGACACAGAGAGACAGAGACACAGAGAGACAGAGACACAGAGACAGAGACACAGAGACACAGAGAGACAGAGACACAGAGAGACAGAGAGACAGAGACACAGAGACAGAGACACAGAGAGACAGAGAGACAGAGACACAGAGAGACAGAGAGAGACAGAGACACAGACAGAGAGAGACAGAGACACAGAGAGACAGAGACAGAGACACAGAGAGACAGAGAGAGACAGAGACACAGAGAGACAGAGACACAGAGACAGAGACACAGAGACACAGACACAGAGACAGAGAGACAGAGACACAGAGAGACAGAGACACAGAGACAGAGACACAGAGACAGAGACACAGAGACAGAGACACACAGACAGAGACACAGAGACAGAGAGACAGAGACACAGAGACAGAGACACAGAGAGACAGAGAGACAGAGAGACAGAGACACAGAGAGACAGAGACACAGAGACGGAGACACAGAGACGCAGAGAGACAGAGACACAGAGAGACAGAGACGGAGACACAGAGACGCAGAGAGACAGAGACACAGAGAGACAGAGACACAGAGAGACAGAGACACAGAGAGAGACAGAGACACAGAGACACAGAGACACAGACAGAGACACAGAGACACACAGAGACAGAGACACACAGACAGAGACACAGAGACACACAGACAGAGACACAGAGACAGAGAGACAGAGACACAGAGAGACAGAGACACAGAGAGACAGAGACACAGAGAGACAGAGAGACAGAGACACAGAGAGACACAGAGACGGAGACACAGAGACGCAGAGAGACAGAGACACAGAGAGACAGAGACACAGAGAGACAGAGACACAGAGACACAGAGACACAGAGAGACAGAGACACAGAGAGACAGAGAGACAGAGACACAGAGAGACACAGAGACGGAGACACAGAGACGCAGAGAGACAGAGACACAGAGAGACAGAAACACAGAGAGACAGAGACACAGAGAGACAGAGACACAGAGACAGAGACACAGAGACACAGAGAGACAGAGAGACAGAGACACAGAGAGACAGAGAGAGACAGAGACACAGACAGAGAGAGACAGAGACACAGAGAGACAGAGACAGAGACACAGAGAGACAGAGAGAGACAGAGACACAGAGAGACAGACACAGAAACAGAGACACACAGACAGAGACACAGAGACAGAGAGACAGAGACACAGAGACACAGAGACACAGAGAGACAGAGAGAGACAGAGACAGAGAGACAGAGACACAGAGAGACAGAGACACAGAGAGACAGAGACACACAGACAGAGACACAGAGACAGAGAGACAGAGACACAGAGAGACAGAGAGACAGAGACACAGAGACAGAGACACAGAGACGCAGAGAGACAGAGACACAGAGAGACAGAGACGGAGACACAGAGACGCAGAGAGACAGAGACACAGAGAGACAGAGACACAGAGAGACAGAGACACAGAGAGAGACAGAGACACAGAGACAGAGACACAGAGACACAGAGAGACAGAGAGACAGAGAGATACAGAGACACAGAGAGACAGAGACACAGAGAGACAGAGACACAGAAACACAGACACAGAGACACAGAGACACAGAGACACAGACACAGAGACAGAGACACAAAGACAGAGACACAGAGACAGAGACACAGACACAGAGAGACAGAGACACAGAGAGACAGAGACACAGAGAGAGACACAGAGAGAGACAGAGACACAGAGACAGAGACACAGAGACAGAGACACAGAGACAGAGACACAGAGACAGAGACACAGAGACACAGAGAGACAGAGAGACAGAGACAGAGACACACAGAGAGACAGAGACACAGAAACAGAGACACAGAGAGACAGAGACACACAGAAACAGAGACACAGAGAAACAGAGACACAGAGAGAGACAGAGACACAGATACACAGAGAGACAAAGACACAGAGACAGAGACACAGAGACACAGAGAGACAGAGACACAGAGAGAGACACAGAGAGAGACAGAGACACAGAGACAGAGACAGAGAGACAGAGAGACAGAGACAGAGACACAGAGAGACAGAGACACAGAGACACAGAGAGACAGAGAGACAGAGAGACAGAGACACAGAGAGACAGAGACACAGAGACACAGAGAGACAGAGACACAGAGAGACAGAGACACAGAGAGACAGAGACACAGAGAGACAGAGACACAGAGACACAGACACAGAGAGACAGAGAGACAGAGAGACAGAGAGACAGAGAGACAGAGATACAGAGAGACAGAGAGACAGAGACAGAGAGAGACAGAGACAGAGAGAGACAGAGACAGAGACACAGAAACACAGAGACACAGAAACACAGAGACAGAGACACAGAGAGACAGAGACACAGAAACACAGAAACACAGAGACACAGAGACACAGAGAGACAGAGACACAGAGACAGAGACACAGAGACAGAGACACAAAGACAGAGACACAGAGACAGAGACACAGACACAGAGAGACAGAGACACAGAGAGACAGAGACAGAGACACAGAAAGAGACACAGAGAGAGACAGAGACACAGAGACAGAGACACAGAGACACAGAGAGACAGAGAGACAGAGACACACAGAGAGACAGAGACACAGAAACAGAGACACAGAGACACAGAGAGACAGAGAGAGACAGAGACACAGAGAGACAGAGACACACAGAAACAGAGACACAGAGAAACAGAGACACAGAGAGAGACAGAGACACAGAGACACAGAGACAGAGACACAGAGACACAGAGAGACAGAGACAGAGACACAGAGAGAGACACAGAGAGAGACAGAGACACAGAGACAGAGACAGAGAGACAGAGACAGAGACAGAGAGACAGAGACACAGAGACACAGAGACAGAGAGACAGAGACACAGAGAGACAGAGACACAGAGAGACAGAGACACAGAGACACAGAGAGACAGAGACACAGAGAGACAGAGACACAGAGAGACAGAGACACAGAGAGACAGAGACACAGAGAGACAGAGACACAGAGACACAGAGAGACAGAGAGACAGAGAGACAGAGATACAGAGACACAGAGAGACAGAGAGACAGAGAGACAGAGACAGAGAGAGACAGAGACAGAGACACAGAAACACAGAGACACAGAAACACAGAGACAGAGACACAGAGACACAGAGAGACAGAGACACAGAGACAGAGACACAGAAACACAGAGACACAGAAACACAGAGACAGAGACACAGAGACACAGAGAGACAGAGACACAGAGACAGAGACACAGAGACACAGAGAGACAGAGAGAGACAGAGACACAGAGACAGAGACACAGAGACAGAGACACACAGAGAGACAGAGACACAGAGAGACAGAGACAGAGACACAGAGACATACAGTACGAGTCAGGACAAGAGCTAACCCGCTCAATAGGGAAGTGCTCATGGTGAAGTCTGGCAAAAATTTGCTCTGACTCACACCACACAAATATATACTGTACCAATGTGTGGTCAGTCCCTGTGGTCAGTCCCTGTGGTCAGTCCCTGTGCTGCTTCTGGTGTGCTGCTCACCTTGTTGCTGGTTGGACACCAGCGTCTGCAGAGCAATGGCCGCCTCCACCTTCACAGGCATCTCCTGGTCCTCCACCAGGTCCTGCTTCACCAGCGCCACAGCACTGCACAGCACCTGCTCGTCGTGGAACCTCAGGGGGCTGAAGCAGTGCAGTACCCAGCACGACTGAGGGGACAAGGGGAACAAGGACCACGTTTACTTCAGAGTGTCGAGGAGGCAGGGGCCGCTGGGGGCTGCAGGGGGCGGGTGAAGCGGCAGTACTCACTCGTGCTCGCAGATATCCCAGAGGAGAGTTCAGCAGCGGAAACACATAGTTCTGCAACATCATCTCCATCTGCTCCCGGTACACCCGCTTCTGTGAGGAGAGAGCACAACCTCTGGTCTCTCTCTCTCTGGTCTCTCTCTCTCTGGTCTCTCTCTCTCTCTCTCTGGTCTCTCTCTCTGATCTCTCTCTCTCTGGTCTCCCTCTCTGATCTCTCTCTCTCTCTCTCTCTGGTCTCTCTCTCTCTCTCTCTGGTCTCTCTCTCTCTCTGGTCTCTCTCTCTCTCTGGTCTCTCTCTCTGATCTCTCTCTCTCTCTCTCTCTGGTCTCTCTCTCTCTCTCTCTGGTCTCTCTCTCTGATCTCTCTCTCTCTCTCTCTCTGGTCTCTCTCTCTCTCTCTCTGGTCTCTCTCTCTGATCTCTCTCTCTCTCTCTCTCTGGTCTCTCTCTCTCTCTCTCTGGTCTCTCTCTCTCTCTCTCTGGTCTCTCTCTCTCTCTGGTCTCTCTCTCTCTCTGGTCTCTCTCTCTCTCTGGTCTCTCTCTCTCTCTCTGGTCTGTCTCTCTCTCTCTGGTCTCTCTCTCTCTGGTCTCTCTCTCTCTGGTCTCTCTCTCTCTGGTCTCTCTCTCTCTGGTCTCTCTCTCTCTGGTCTCTCTCTCTCTGGTCTCTCTCTCTCTGGTCTCTCTCTGGTCTCTCTCTCTCTCTCTGGTCTCTCTCTCTCTGGTCTCTCTCTGGTCTCTCTCTCTCTGGTCTCTCTCTCTCTGGTCTCTCTCTCTCTGGTCTCTCTCTCTCTGGTCTCTCTCTCTCTGGTCTCTCTCTCTCTGGTCTCTCTCTCTCTGGTCTCTCTCTCTCTGGTCTCTCTCTCTCTGGTCTCTCTCTCTCTCTGGTCTCTCTCTCTCTCTGGTCTCTCTCTCTCTGGTACCTTCAGTAGTAGTTCTCCCAGAGTGCCCACACAGTGCAGTGCCCCGTCCTTCCTGCGGGGGTCAGCAGAGGGGTTCGAGAGCGTCTGGTGACAGAAGTCCATCATCTGAGGAAGAACCTGAAGGACACAAACACATGAGAGAGAAGTGTGTGTCTGTGTCAGTGTGCGTGTGCATGTGTGTGTCAGTGTGTGTGTGCATGTGTGTGTCCGTGTGTTTGTCTGTGTGTGTCAGTGTGGTACCTCTTTCCGTTTGCGTGCTGCCTTACACAGTAGCGCCTGTGCAGCGGTGGCGGGCAGTGCGTGGTCGTCGTACAGATCTGAAAACACACAACCGTCTGAGTGTCACTGAGTCAGCCCTGGTCCAGCCTCAGCCCTGGTCCAGCCTCAGCCCTGGTCCAGCCTCAGCCCTGGTCCAGCCTCAGCCCTGGTCCAGCCTCAGCCCTGGTCCAGCCTCAGCCCTGGTCCAGCCTCAGCCCTGGTCCAGCCTCAGCCCTGGTCCAGCCTCAGCCCTGGTCCAGCCTCAGCCCTGGTCCAGCCTCAGCCCTGGTCCAGCCTCAGCCCTGGTCCAGCCTCAGCCCTGGTCCAGCCTCAGCCCTGGTCCAGCCTCAGCCCTGGTCCAGCCTCAGCCCTGGTCCTGGTCCTGGACTCACTGAACTTCATGCGGATGTACTCGTAGGGGTCCTCCTGCCACAGCCTCTCGTCCTCGTCCTTGTAGCACATCAGAGGAAAGATCACTTCCTGGTTCAGGATCTGCACAAACACACACTCAGCAACTGGTTCTCAACCTGCGGGCCCTGGCCCTGTCAAACTACATTCATTATATAATATATATATATATATATATATACATTATAAATAAAGAGATGTAGACAGATGTGTGACCTGCATGTGGGGCTTCAGGTGCTTCCATGTGACAGAGTGGGACAGTCCTTGGCTCAGGTACAGCAGACACTGCTGCAGGACCCGAGGAGTCACGTACTGTCTCTGTCTGAACTGATCCACCACCTTCAGCAGCGTCTGGAGGGAACCCACACAGGACCTTATATAAGCCTACCACTTATATATATACTGTATACACACGTTTATATATTTTTACACATGTGTAGATATAAGACACTGTCACCTGCTGCAGACCCACGGCGTACGTTTTCAGGAAGAAATCTGCAAACTCTGAATATTCTTTAGTGACGTTTCCTGGACTCCCATATCTGCAACAGGACCAGAGAGATGAGACCAGAGTGAGACCAAAGAGAGACCAGAGTGAGACCAGAGAGAGACCAGAGAGAGACCAGAGAGAGACCAGAGAGAGACCAGAGAGAGACCAGAGAGACCAGAGAGAGACCAGAGTGAGACCAGAGAGAGACCAGAGAGAGACCAGAGAGAGACCAGAGTGAGACCAGAGAGATGAGACCAGAGAGAGACCAAAGAGAGACCAGAGAGAGACCAGAGTGAGACCAGAGAGAGACCAGAGAGAGACCAGAGAGAGACCAGAGTGAGACCAGAGAGAGACCAGAGAGAGACCAAAGAGAGACCAGAGAGAGACCAGAGAGAGACCAGAGAGAGACCAGAGAGAGACCAGAGAGAGACCAGAGAGAGACCAGAGAGAGACCAGAGAGAGACCAGAGAGAGACCAGAGAGAGACCAGAGTGAGACCAGAGAGAGACCAGAGAGAGACCAGAGAGAGACCAGAGTGAGACCAGAGTGAGACCAGAGAGAGACCAGAGAGAGGCCAGAGAGAGACCAGAGTGAGACCAGAGAGAGACCAGAGAGAGAGACCAGAGAGAGAATGAGGCGGGCCTCAGGTGCACTGAGGTCCGTACCGTTCGAAGACTCTGGTGATGATCCTCATGGCCCACTTCTTACACTTCCACCAGGCCAGGTCCGGCCGGTCGTCCTCGTCCACCTCCAGAGTCTCCTGCACACACCAGGGCATCAGGGGCAATACACTTGAACCCCTGATTGCTATGACCCTGGTTGCTATGGCAGTGGTTGCTATGGCAGTGGTTGCTATGGCAGTGGTTGCTATGGCAGTGGTTGCTATGGCACTGGATGCTTGTTGCCATGATTGCTATGGACCTAGCTGCTATTGCCCTGGTTGCTATGACACTGGAGGCTTGTTGCTATGGACCTTGCCGCTATGGCCCTGGTTGCTATGGCCTAGGATGCTTATTGTCATGGTTACGTACCGCCGGCACGTCGCGCTCCATGATTTGCCTCAGGACTTCCATCCACTGCGTCATCACCGCGTGATCGATCAACCGCAGAGGGAGAGAGTACTGCACAGAGGTCAGAGGGAGAGAGTACTGCACAGAGGTCAGAGGGCGAGTACTGCACAAAAGGTCAGAGGGAGAGAGTACTGCACAGAGGTCAGAGGGAGAGAGTACTGCACAGAGGTCAGAGGGAGAGAGTACTGCACAGAGGTCAGAGAGGATACTGCGAGGTCAGAGTTCAGAGGGAGAGAGTCAGAAGAGGAGAGGTACTGCACAGAGGTCAGAGGGAGAGAGTACTGCACAGAGGTCAGAGGGCGAGTACTGCACAAAAGTCAGAGGGAGAGAGTACTGCACAGAGGTCAGAGGGAGAGAGTACTGCACAGAGGTCAGAGGGAGAGAGTACTGCACAGAGGTCAGAGGGAGAGAATACTGCACAGAGGTCAGAGTTCAGAGGGAGAGAGTCAGAGTTCAGAGGGAGAGAGTACTGCACAGAGGTCAGAGGTCAGAGGGCGAGTACTGCACAAAAGGTCAGAGGGAGAGAGTACTGCACAGAGGTCAGAGGGAGAGAGTACTGCACAGAGGTCAGAGGGAGAGAGTACTGCACAGAGGTCAGAGGGAGAGAGTACTGCACAGAGGTCAGAGGGAGAGAATACTGCACAGAGGTCAGAGTTCAGAGGGAGAGAGTCAGAGTTCAGAGGGAGAGAGTACTGCACAGAGGTCAGAGGGAGAGAATACTGCACAGAGGTCAGAGTTCAGAGGGAGAGAATACTGCACAGAGGTCAGAGTTCAGAGGGAGAGAATACTGCACAGAAGTCAGAGGTCAGGGTCAGGGGTCAGAGGTCGCACCTGCACCAGAGAGTAGAAGACCTTCAGCACTTGTTTCTGGATGAGGACAGAGAAGATGGTTCCGTCCGACAGAAGCTCAGAGAGAAGCTGCTGGACACGCGGCAAGAACACAGACATGGCCGCCAGGAGGGGGTCTCTCTCCTCAGACTTACGGTACCTACAGGAAGGAGGGGGAGGGGAGAGAGGGAGAGGGGGAGGGGAGAGAGGGAGGGAGAGAAGGAAGAGAGGGGGGAGAGAGGAGAGAGGGAGAGAGAGAAGGAAGAGAGGGGGGAGAGGAGAGGATTAGAACGAGTCCCAACAGGAATCTGGAACCACATTTGTGAGTAGAAAAAAACTCAGTGACCAAAGAGCCAATCAGGGACAGCGCTGATCTGCACCCGCTCGTTCTATTCGCTGATAAAGATGTATGTAGGGAACGAAGGCTCCTGATTGGTTTAAGGCTCATAAGAGGATTTACAAAGACAGATAAACAGAGAATCACAGAAAACCACAGACTTCAGCCCAAAACGGTGATGTCACAAACGGAGCGGGAGGAGTAGCAGCCGAACTTCGCCCATGAGCACTTCCCTGTGGCTGCAGTGTGTGGGACTCACTCGTAGGTCTTGACCAGCTGGTAGAGGGCGAGCAGAGCGCCGTACCAGCCGCTGCTGTTCTGCGCTCTCAGGTACAACTGCAGTTTATCCACCACACCAGGCCACCGCCCCGGGAAGTCATGACGGATGATGGTACGGAGACACATGGTCAACTGGGCCCTGCACACACCAGAGACAGACACCAGAGAGAGAGAGAGCAGAGAGAGAGCAGAGAGACACCAGAGAGAGAGACCAGAGAGAGACCAGAGAGAGAGCAGAGAGAGCAGAGAGACCAGAGAGAGACCAGAGAGAGACCAGAGAGAGACCAGAGAGAGACCAGAGAGACACCAGAGAGAGACCAGAGAGACACCAGAGAGACACCAGAGAGAGACCAGAGAGACACCAGAGAGACACCAGAGAGAGATCAGAGAGAGACCAGAGAGAGAGCAGAGAGAGCAGAGAGACCAGAGAGAGAGCAGAGAGACCAGAGAGAGAGCAGAGAGAGCAGAGAGAGAGACCAGAGAGAGACCAGAGAGAGAGCAGAGAGAGCAGAGAGACCAGAGAGAGACCAGAGAGAGACCAGAGAGACACCAGAGAGAGACCAGAGAGACACCAGAGAGAGAGCAGAGAGACCAGAGAGAGACCAGAGAGAGAGCAGAGAGACCAGAGAGAGAGCAGAGAGAGAGACCAGAGAGAGACCAGAGAGAGACCAGAGACAGAAACCAGTTTAAGACTTGCTAAAGTAAGGTCCGGTTCCAAACGTGAGGTTCTGGTACCGTATGGACTCCGGGCAGCGGATGATCCCCTCCACGATGTGCTCTCGGATCTGCAGCCGGTCGTTCTCGTGGATGTTGAACGGAAACACCACGTCCCCCACGGCGGGTTCTCGGTCCTGCCAGTACTGACTCACCATGTTCTTCAGGTAGATGGCAGCTGCAACAGACACTACAGCCTCAGTCCTGGGTCTACAGCCTCAGTCCTGGGTCTACAGCCTCAGTCCTGGGTCTACAGCCTCAGTCCTGGGTCTACAGCCTCAGTCCTGGGTCTACAGCCTCAGTCCTGGGTCTACAGCCTCAGTCCTGGGTCTACAGCCTCAGTCCTGGGTCTACAGCCTCAGTCCTGGGTCTACAGCCTCAGTCCTGGGTCTACAGCCTCAGTCATGAGTCTACAGCCTCAGTCCTGGGTCTACAGCCTCAGTCCTGGGTCTACAGCCTCAGTCCTGGGTCTACAGCCTCAGTCCTGGGTCTACAACCTCAGTCCTGGGTTTACAGCCTCAGTCCTGGGTCTACAGCCTCAGTCCTGGGTCTACAGCCTCAGTCCTGGTCTACAGCCTCAGTCCTGGGTCTACAGCCTCAGTCCTGGGTCTACAGCCTCAGTCCTGGGTCTACAGCCTCAGTCCTGGGTCTACAGCCTCAGTCCTGGGTCTACAGCCTCAGTCCTGGGTCTACAGCCTCAGTCCTGGTCTACAGCCTCAGTCCTGGGTCTACAGCCTCATCCTGGTCTACAGCCTCAGTCCTGGGTCTACAGCCTCAGTCCTGGGTCCCTCAGTCTGGGTCTACAGCCTCAGTCCTGGGTCTACAGCCTCAGTCCTGGGTCTACAGCCTCAGTCCTGGGTCTACAGCCTCAGTCCTGGGTCTACAGCCTCAGTCCTGGGTCTAGTCTCGGTCCTGGGTCTAGTCTCGGTCCTGGACCCACCTGCCTGGCGGACGGGGAACTCCACTTGTTCTGAGACAATGATCTGCAGCAGCGTCGGAGCAAAGTTGATGATTTTATATGACTGAAAAACAAGACACAAATAATGACACATTGTTCAGACTCCTCCCCCTCCCACCAGTGACCCCTCCCCCTCCCACCAGACTCCTCCCCCTCTTGCCACTAGCTCCTCCCCCTCTCGCCACTGACTCCTCCCCATCCTGATGTTTCCATGGGGACGTTACATAACTTTCACTTTCACTTAAGCAGCAGAACCAAGACAATGCACTTAAAGCTGTGGTACGTAACTTTAGTCTCATAAATGGTCCATGGTCCCAGAGAGAAAGTACCATCAGAGAAAGTACCATCGGAGAAAGTACCAAGTACCATCGGAGAAAGAACCATCGGAGAAAGTACCATCAGAGAAAGTACCATCAGAGAAAGAACTATCAGACGAAGTACCATCAGAGAAAGAACCATCAGTGAAAGAACCATCAGAGAAAGTACCATCAGAGAAAGTACCATCAGAGAAAGAACCATCAGTGAAAGAACCATCAGAGAAAGAACCATCAGAGAAAGTACCATCAGAGAAAGTACCATCAGAGAAAGTATACCCTCAGAGAAAGTACCATCAGAGAAAGTATATCCTCAGAGAAAGTACCATCAGTGAAAGTACCATCAGAGAAAGTACCATCAGAGAAAGTACCATCAGAGAAAGTACCATCAGAGAAAGTATACCCTCAGAGAAAGAACCATCAGAGAAAGTACCATCAGAGAAAGAACCATCAGAGAAAGTATACCCTCAGAGAAAGTACCATCAGAGAAAGTACCATCAGAGAAAGTACCATCAGAGAAAGTACCATCAGAGAAAGTATACCCTCAGAGAAAGTACCATCAGTGAAAGTACCATCAGAGAAAGTACCATCAGAGAAAGTATACCCTCAGAGAAAGTACCATCAGAGAAAGAACCATCAACCCTCAGAGAAAGAACCATCAGAGAAAGAACCATCAGACCACAACATCCTGTCAGAACCATGTTAGACACAGTCAGATGTAAGGGACGCCCTGGGAGTCACTATCTGACTCTTTGGGCTAATAGCTGATTGGCCGAGAGAGGGTGGTCCTCTCTTTTCACTGTTCTGTCTGAAAAAACTGATCTGAAGAGACAGAAATACATGATATGAAAACTAGACCAGAGCCCAGAGCCCAGAGACCAGGAACAAGACCAGAGACCAGAGACCAGGAACAACACCAGAGACCAGGAACAACACCAGAGACAAGGTACAAGACCAGAGACCAGAGACCAGGAACAAGACCAGAGACCAGAGACCAGGAACAACACCAGAGACCAGAGACCAGGAACAAGACCAGAGACCAGAGACCAGGAACAAGACCAGAGACCAGAGACCAGGAACAACACCAGAGACCAGGAACAACACCAGAGACAAGGTACAAGACCAGAGACCAGAGACCAGAGACCAGGTACAAGACCAGGTACAAGACCAGAGACCAGGTACAAGACCAGGTACAAGACCAGAGACCAGGTACAAGACCAGGTACAAGACCAGGTACAAGACCAGAGACCAGGTACAAGACCAGGTACAAGACCAGAGACCAGGTACAAGACCAGGTACAAGACCAGGTACAAGACCAGAGACCAGGTACAAGACCAGGTACAAGACCAGAGACCAGGAACAAGACCAGAGACAAGGAACAAGCCAGAGACCAGAGACAAGCAGTGATAGAAAAAACTATTTTAGAACCAGGAACTGGTAACAAGGGTTTGATGACAGAGTTCTATTGTTGTGGTCTGAAAGTTACGCACCCCAGCTTTAACTACACACGAACACAGGGATGACCCAGACCGAACCAGACCGACCCAGATCAAAGAGAGTCCCATTGTTCCCCAGTCTCAGCCCCAGTGAGTCTCTCCATGACCCGGACCCACCTGGTTCAGCTCGCTCTCGGCCGCCAGGCGCAGGCTCGGGTCGATGGTCCCCTTCAGCGCCTGCACGATACGGTTCGGGTCCATGGCTCTGGCTCTGGCTCTGGCTCTGGCTCTGGCTCTGGCTCTGGGTCTGAGTCCCGGGGGGAGAGCAGAGACGCCTGGGCCTGACCATAGAAGTGTAATAATGTGAGTCTGGGCCTGCGTCAAGAGCAGAGGACACACAGGCGTGCACTTCCGCCCGAGCCCTTCACAATAAAACTACATCCGGTTACGTTGGTTTAAAGCTCAGGTATGGAACTTTCAGATCACAACAATAGAACTCTGTGTGAAGAAATACCTAAGACCAGAGAGAGAGACCAGAGAGAGAGACCAGAGAGAGAGACCAGAGAGAGAGAGAGAGAGACCAGAGAGAGACCAGAGAGAGAGACCAGAGAGAGAGACCAGAGAGAGAGGAGAGAGAGACCAGAGAGAGAGACCAGAGAGAGAGGAGAGAGAGACCAGAGAGAGACCAGAGAGAGACCAGAGAGAGACCAGAGAGAGACCAGACAGACCAGAGAGAGAGACCAGAGAGAGACCAGAGAGAGAGGAGAGAGAGACCAGAGAGAGACCAGAGAGAGACCAGAGAGAGACCAGAGAGAGACCAGAGAGAGACCAGAGAGAGACCAGACAGACCAGAGAGAGAGACCAGAGAGAGACCAGAGAGAGAGGAGAGAGAGACCAGAGAGAGAGAGACCAGAGAGAGAGGAGAGAGAGACCAGAGAGAGAGAGACCAGAGAGAGAGAGACCAGAGAGAGAGAGACCAGAGAGAGAGAGACCAGAGAGATAGAGACCAGAGAGAGAGGAGAGAGAGACCAGAGAGAGAGAGACCAGAGAGAGAGAGACCAGAGAGAGAGAGACCAGAGAGAGAGACCAGAGAGAGTTTTTGCCCCTTGTCCCTTGAGTCTGTTCCGTCTAAAGAGATTTTTGGTCGGTGACGTCTGAAGACATGTTTTAAGGCTTTGAAGACGCGCACATGTGACGTCACAGCGGTCTTTTACATTGGGGGCTGTTCCGGCTGCAGAGTGTGAAACTTGACTGTGTGCCGCCGAGCAGGACATGGTGCCGTAAAGCAAAAGTAAACACATTTTACGACACAAACACACATCTTGGAACACTAATGTCGTGACAGACGGTGTCCACTAGATGTCAGTATTTCTTTGCGTTCAGACATATTTGATCTCTCTTAAAAAAACGGTTGAATAATAAATCTTTTGGACACTCAGACGCTTTACGAAACACAGAAGAGCATACATTGTTTTATTTATTTAGAGGATAAGCCCCTTGAGAATACGTTTGAGAGGGTCCTCAAGAGAAGGACAGATAAGATGTACTTTAATAATCTCACACAGGAGAGATGTGACAGATGCAAACAAAACAAAAATACAAGAAAATCATACAAAAATGAAAAAGCAACCTTAAAATATACACATCAACTTTCTCACACACACACCCTCACACACACTCTCACACGCACACTCTCTCATACCCTCACACACACACACACTCTGTCATACCCTCACACACACACACACACACTCTCTCATACTCTCTCACACACACTCTCACACACACGCACACACACACTCTCACACACACACTCTCTCACACACACACACACACGACTGTTCTGTAACACTAAATAAGGATAAAACTATTAGTAACAATAATAATTTGGAGACAGTAAATACAAGTTCAGGACTGAGTTGTGGAGACATTGTAGCAGAGCAGATTTAAACAGAGGAAAACTGTTCAGAGCTTTACATTAGAATCCATGTGTTCCAGCTCCTTCTTTCACTCTTGGAACCACAACAAAAGACTGAACGAGGATTGGAAAGGAATCAGAAAAGGCTTTAAATATTTAGGAAAACTGATGAATACAAGCACATGAGAAGAGCACATGAAGGAACAGCTGAAGCGGGTTTAGGAGAAGTGACATAACGTTCTGTAGGGAGGTTGTGATTGGTCGAGTTCTGTAGGGAGTTTGTGATTGGTCGAGTTCTGTAGGGAGTTTGTGATTGGTCGAGTTCTGTAGGGAGTTTGTGATTGGTTGTGGGAGTGAGTTCCAGAAAGTGGGGGCAGTTTGTCCAACAGAAAACCTTGAAGCAGCTGTGGTTAAAGTTAAACTCACCGTGATGACATGCTCGAGGCGTCTCCGCTGTGGGCTCATCTCCAGCCTGAGGACAGTGTCACGATGGCCGCTGCTGATTGGACGCTCCATGATCAAGAATCACATGTGTTCTGTAACTTCTTGGTTCATGCTAGTTCCGTCAACAATAAAACCTGTTTCTGTCTGACAAGAGCGAGCCCTGTGAGCCCTATTTACACTCTTCCCCCTCTGGTCTCTCTTCTGGTCTCTCTTTTCCCCCCTCTGGTCTCTCCCCTTCCAGTCTGGTTTTGTGTTAGAGGAGAGCGGGAGACCAGGAGACCAAACAGTGACATGGATGGTATGTTCTGTTTGAAAGTTACGTCCCTGAGCTTTAATGACTGCTCAGAGGATGAGGCTCGTTATCAAAGACCATGTGTGTAAGTTACAGACCTCAGCTTTAATCTCATTCACAGCTTCAGAAAAAGACCAGAGCGATTCATGTGCACGTGTTTATTGTGACGCAGTTGATTTTAGTGTTCAGTCCCGGTGGTCTCCCCTCAGTCCCAGCGGTCTCCCCTCAGTCCCAGTGGTCTCCCCCCCCCCCCTCAGTCCCAGTGGTCTTCCCCCCCTCAGTCCCAGTGGTCTTCCCCCCCCCAGTCCCAGTGGTCTTCCCCTCCCTCAGTCCCAGTGGTCTTCCCCCCCCCAGTCCCAGTGGTCTTCCCCCCCCTCAGTCCCAGTGGTCTTCCCCCCCCCTCAGTCCCAGTAGTCTTCCCCCCCCCTCAGTCCCAGTAGTCTTCCTCCCCCCTCAGTCCCAGTAGTCTTCCCCCCCTCAGTCCCAGTGGTCTTCCCCCCCCTCAGTCCCAGTGGTCTTCCCCCCCTCAGTCCCAGTGGTCTTCCCCCCCTCAGTCCCAGTGGTCTTCCCCCCCCTCAGTCCCAGTGGTCTTCCCCCCCCCTCAGTCCCAGTGGTCTTCCCCCCCTCAGTCCCAGTGGTCTTCCCCCCCTCAGTCCCAGTGGTCTTCCCCCCCCTCAGTCCCAGTGGTCTTCCCCCCCTCAGTCCTGGTAGAGCAGGAAGCCAGAGAAGGTGCTGTACTTCCAGGAGCTGCCATAGATGGCGCCGCGGTGCAGCCGCAGCCACACGGCGTCCCCTCGGGCCAGGCGCAGCAGGCTGTGGTTGGAGGCGGTCTCGTGGTCGGGTGCTCCGTCGTTGGCGTAGGCGGAGACCGCCACCTCCTGGTTCATCATGAGGTTGACGTACAGCGGCACGTTGACGGCGAGCTTCAGGGCATGGAACAGGAACACGTAGGTTCCGGCCGCGGGGCACGTGAAGCGGCCCAGGCGCGGGTCGTAGGCGTCGCCGTGGTTACAGAGCAGCTGGTCGAACACCACGGGCTGGTCCAGGTTCCCGGGCGCAAAGTTAGCAGTGCGCGCCGCGGTGAAGGCCACACGCAGAGGGGGAGGCGGGTAGAGGGGGAGGGAGGGGGTGAGGAGGGAGGGGTCCAATGATCCACAGCTGCAGACAGAACCAGAGACTTTATTACACACTGTACACACTGGACAATGCCAACACAGTGAAGTGCTCATGGTGAAGTTTGGCTTCTATGGACTTCCTTGATCAGTGAACTCAGTCACTCTCCCCATGAGCACTTCCCTGTGGGTGTGTTGTGTTTGTACCTGTGCAGCGAAGAAACTGCCAGAGACTCTCCACGGCCTGAGTCCAGGATGAAGGCCGAGCGCTCCGGACTGTGTCCCAGGGAGGAGTCACTCCAGGAGGCTGAGGAGGAGGAGGAGGAGCAGGAGGAGGAGCAAGAAGAGCAGGAGGAGGAGCAAGAGGAGCAGGAGGAGGAGCAGAAGGAGGAGCAAGAAGAGCAGGAGGAGGAGCAAGAAGAGCAGGAGGAGGAGCAAGAGGAGCAGAAGGAGGAGCAAGAAGAGCAGGAGGAGGAGCAAGAGGAGCAGGAGGAGGAGCAAGAGGAGCAGGAGGAGGAGCAGGAGGAGCAGGAGGAGGAGCAAGAGGAGCAGGAGGAGGAGCAAGAGGAGCAGGAGGAGGAGCAGGAGGAGCAGGAGGAGGAGCAAGAGGAGCAGGAGGAGGAGCAAGAGGAGCAGGAGGAGCCGCAAGAAGAGCAGGTGGAGGAGCAAGAGGAGCAGGAGGAGCAGGAGGAGGAGCAAGAGGAGCAGGAGGAGGAGCAAGAGGAGCAGGAGGAGGAGCAAGAGGAGCAGGAGGAGCAGGAGGAGGAGCAGGAGGAGCAAGAGGAGCAGGAGGAGGAGCAAGAAGAGCAGGAGGAGGAGCAGGAGGAGCAAGAGGAGCAGGAGGAGGAGCAAGAAGAGCAGGAGGAGGAGCAAGAGGAGCAGGAGGAGGAGCAAGAGGAGCAGCAAGAAGAGCAGGAGGAGGAGCAGGAGGAGCAAGAAGAGCAGGAGGAGGAGCAAGAGAGAAACAGGCGTCCAATACATAATGAGCCTAAACTGTCTGTGTGTCCAGAGTGTGTGTCAGTGTGTGTGTCCAGAGTGTGTGTCAGTGTGTGTGTCAGTGTGTGTGTCAGTGTGTGTGTCAGTGTGTGTGTCAGTGTGTGTCAGTGTGTGTGTCAGTGTGTGTGTCAGTGTGTGTGTCAGTGTGTGTGTGTCTGTACCGTTGCCATTGTGTCTCACTCTGTAGTTCTGATATTCTCCAGCCTGAAAACAACAACATTCTTCAAAAAGGAACTGAGGTCTGTCCTGGAGCAGATCTCCCTCCTCCCCCCTGCCTCCCCCCTGCCTCCCCCCTGCCTCCCCCCTCCTCCCCCTGCCTCCCCCTCCTCCTCCCTGCCTCCCCCCTGCCTCCCCCCTCCTCCCCCCTGCCTCCCCCTCCTCCTCCCCCCTCCTCCCCCCTCCTCCCCCTGCCTCCCCCCTCCTCCCCCCTCCTCCCCCCTGCCTCCCCCTGCCTCCCCCCTGCCTCCCCCTCCTTTGAGGACCAGGGACTCACTCTGGAGCTGTAGAAGGTTCCAGGTTCCTGCAGATGTGGACTTCCTGCAGGAGACAAGTCACAATATGAACCACCACTCACAAGTCTCCATCCCCCACTGACCCTAACCCGCATAATATGATAATAATATTATTATTATTAAATATTACAATAATAACCTAAAAGGGGTTGAAAATGAAATGAAAAAAGAACAATAACAACCTCACCTCTCCCAGGTTGGTGATAGTGGGCGGGTCTTCCTCCTGATTGGCTCGGAGACAGGAAGCTGCCAGCGTCGTAATCTGCATAAACTGAAATAAAGACAGTCAAACCTGTGTGTCAGTGTGTGTGTGATATAGAATATAGAATATATTATATATATATATATATATATATATATATATATATATATATATATATAGGAGCGGATCCCTTTCTCATATGGGTCTCCCTCCCTGTGGGTTTCCCTAGTTCTCCCCAAGGTTTCTCACTTTTTCCCACTGGGTTTTTTAAGAGTTGTTCCTTGTCGATGCAGGAGGGTCTTGTTGGACAGTTAGTGTCCAACAGAAAGGATTGGTGATGATCAGGACACTTTAGCATTCTACAACATGTATGGACATTTTCTTCTGTGTGTGCTTTATATTCTTCATGTGTTTTAACTGTTGATTCTCTGACCTGTGTTGGTGATTTCAATGGTTTTGTTAAGTCTCTGAGATGACTTCTGTTGTGACCTAGGGCTATACAAGAATACATTCTATTGTATTGTATTGTGCGTGCGTGTGTGCGTCAGTGCGTGCGTCAGTGCGTGCGTGTGTGCGTGCGTGTGTGCGTCAGTGCGTGCGTCAGTGCGTGCGTGTGTGCGTCAGTGCGTGCGTGTGTGCGTGCGTGTGTGCGTCAGTGCGCGCGTAAGAGCGCGTGCGTAAGAGCGCGTGCGTAAGAGCGCGTGCGTAAGAGCGCGTGCGTAAGAGCGCGTGCGTAAGAGCGCGTGCGTAAGAGCGCGTGCGTAAGAGCGCGTGCGTAAGAGCGCGTGCATAAGAGCGCGTGCATAAGAGTGTGCAGTACCCATGTCGTCCTCTGGGGGGCAGAACTCTGGTGGGGTCTGTGTGCTGACGCTGACAGCAGCTGTGACTTCCTGTGACGAACTGCAGAATCCAGCAGGGGGCAGTGTGTGCTTCACTTTAATCACCTGAGGACACACACAGCTCTAACACCTCCTCCTCTCCGCCTCTTCTCCCCCTCTCCTCCTCCCTCCCCCTCCTCACCGCGTTCATGTTGAAGTGAGCCGAGGGCAGAGGTCTCCTGGACGGTGGTGTGATGAAGGTCTGTGCAACAGGAGACTTCAGCCGGACCAGGAGAGGACTCTGAGGGGACCAGAGACCATGTGAGACCTATGGGACCAGGACAGGACTCTCCTCCGACAGCAGAGGTGTCAAATCAGTTCCAGAAAGGGCAGGTGTGGCTACAGGTTTTAGTTCCACCCTCAGGCGGAGCACAGACTCCACCCTCAGGCTTGTGCACGTGCATGAGAGCCACACACACACACACACACACACACACACACACACACACATTAGTATCAGCGGGGGTTGGGCGTGCCCCGGGGTTCGACCTTAGGTCCAGGTCTTTTTAACCATTTCATGTAAACGAGAGACGAACATATTGGTCACCTGAGGGAGGTCTTTGGGACGCTGCAGGTCTTGGGTGTCTCCGTGGGGGAGGTCTTGGGTGTCTCCGTGGGGGAGGTCTTGGGTGTCTCCGTGGGGGAGGTCTTGGGTGTCTCCGTGGGGGAGGTCTTGGGTGTCTCCGTGGGGGAGGTCTTTGGGCTCCAGGCGTCTGGGAGGGAGCGGGGTGGACTAGAGAGAGCAGAAACTTATACATCTGACTTATACAAGATAAAACATGAGTCAAACTCTCGATGAGGGAGGGATGAGGGGGTGATGAGGGAGGGAGGGATGAGGGTGGGAGTGATGAGGGGGTGATGAGGGAGGAAGTGAGGGGGTTGATGAGGGAGGGATGGGGAGGGAGTGATGGGGGGTGAGGGAGGGATGAGGGGATGATGAGGGAGGAATAAGGGGATGATGAGGGGGTGATGAGGGGGTGATGAGGGGGTGATGAGGGGGTGATGAGGGAGGGGTGAGGGAGGGGTGAGGGAGGGGTGAGGGGATGATGAGGGAGGAATAAGGGGATGATGAGGGAGGGATGAGGGAGAGATGAGGGGGTGATGAGGGAGGGGCTTACATGGGTGGTGGGCAGTGGGCTCCTGGGGTCAGACGGAGCTGCAGACACAAGGATCAAAGTTGATTTTACAATAATTTCTTTCAATAAGACTGACCGTGTCAAACTGTGCCCAGGGCAGGTGCGGCTGCAGGCTGAGGAGCAACACCAGGCTCCACCCACTTCCTCAGGTGAGTCCAGCTTTAACCTGAGGAAATGGGCGGAGTCTACTCCTGCTCAGGTTGGACCGAACACCTGCAGCCGCACCTGCCCTGAGGCAGTCTGACAACTCTGTTCAGAACAATGTTTTTATTATTTTCATGAAACCTCAAACCTCATGCTTTTGTTCCTGATTCTTTTATTGACTATATTGATTTCCTCGTTTTCGGTTTGACAAATGTGGGCGTGGCTAACAGTCCAGCGCCGCGGCTGACGCTGGTACGAACCGACTGCAGAGCTCTGGTCCCTCCCCCCCTCCGGTCCCTCCCCCCCTCTGGTCCCCCCCCCCCTCTGGTCCCCCCCCCCTCTGGTCCCCCCCCCTCTGGTCCCCCCCCCCCCCTGGTCCCCCCCCCCCCTCTGGTCCCTCCCCCAGTAGTGATGAGTGTAAAGCAGACCCAGAGAGGAGGGGCAGGTGGAGGCTTGTGTGTGCAGTCTCTGGTGCGGCCTGCAGGGGGAGCCGCTCCCCTCCAACACAGAGTCCTGAACAAACACAACCAAAGGTTAAAGGTCAAACAAAAGGAAGGGAACTTTCACTGAGGGAGGGGCTCCTGCCCCGAGGGCCACTTAGAGCATTTGAAAGAGGATCCTGCAGGGGCGGCTGAGGCAGACCGCCCCAGGGCAGGTGCGGCTGACCTGCATGAAGCTGAAGGCTGTGTTGAGGCTCAGCAGTTCCTCCAGTCGCTGTCGACGCAGCTTTGAGTCTGTGGGAAGAGACCGCAGCTCCACAGGGACCTGCAGGGGTCAGAGGTTACAGGTCAGAGGGGTTAGGGGTCAGAAGTCACAGCACACGTTTGACTCACAGGTTTGAAAGACTCTTCTCTCCGAACTTTCTTCTCCTTCTGATAAACCACAATAACATCATTAAATCTGAAGTAAAGCGAGAGAGCGACCAGAGAGAGAGACCAGACACCAGAGAGAGAGACCAGAGAGAGGAGAGAGACCAGACACCAGAGAGACCAGAGAGAGACCAGCGAGAAAATACAATTTGTTCACATGTTTTTACTACATTTAGGAGCTTTAAGTTACTCACCCGCCGGCCCTCCCCCTCCCCCCTCCCTCCCCCCTGGTTCTTTGGCACCAGCGCAGCCCCTCCCCTCCAGAGCCTCTGCTCAGGCAGCTCAGAGTCCCAGTGGTCTGGAGGCTCAGCGTCCAAGTCCAAGTCCCAGGTTTGGGCTGAGAGTTTCTCTGACTCCTGCTGAGTTTGGATTAAAGCACAAATATGAAGCATTAGGTTTGTCCTGGAAATATATAAACCATTTACTGTATTAGCATTTGACCAGGCAGAGACCAGGTGAGACAGGCAGGAGACCAGGCTGGAGACCAGGCTGGAGACCAGGCAGGAGACCAGGCAGGAGACCAGGCAGGAGACCAGGCAGGAGACCAGGCAGGAGACCAGGCAGGAGACCAGGCAGGAGACCAGGCAGGAGACCTTCTCAGTCAGACTCACCTCAGAGCTGCTCTTTGAGGCTGACACGACAGCAGAAGCCTCTGTGGTCTCAGGGGTCTTCTTGTCACATGGTTTCTCCTCTGGGGTCTTCTGGTCACATGGTTTCTCCTCTGGGGTCTTCTGGTCACATGGTTTCTCCTCTGGAGGCAGAGAGCTGAAGTAGGGACTGTCCAACAGGACACTCAGCTCCTCCTTCAAACTCTTGACTAAAACACAAGCATTTAGGTCTCAGAACGAGAGAAACCAGAGCGAAACCAGAGAGAGAGACCAGGGAGAGAGACCAGGGAGAGAGACAGACCAGAGAACTCAGCTGACAGAACAGACAGCGTTCACTTGTCCCTCTCTGCTCTCCCCTCTGGTCCTGGGAGTGAAAGTGAGACTCACAGGTGGAGCCGATCACTGGTTTGTCTTTGGCGTCCAGCAGGTCCATGAAGAGTCCTGCTGCTCGCTGCATCTGCGCTGTCAGACTGTACACAGAACACACCTGTCTAAGGAAGGATTTATGGGTCTCTCTCTCTGGTCTCGCTCTCTCTGGTCTCTCTCTCTCTCTCTGGTCTCTCTCTCTCTCTCTGGTCTCTCTCTCTCTGGTCTCTCTCTCTCTCTCTGGTCTCTCTCTCTCTCTCTCTGGTCTCTCTCTCTCTCTGGTCTCTCTCTCTCTCTGGTCTCTCTCTCTCTCTCTCTCTCTCTTTCTCTCTCTCTCTCTGGTCTCTCTCTCTCTGGTCTCTCTCTCTCTCTGGTCTCTCTCTCTCTCTCTGGTCTCTCTCTCTCTGGTCTCTCTCTCTCTCTGGTCTCTCTTTCTCTCTCTCTCTCTCTGGTCTCTCTCTCTCTCTCTGGGTCTCTCTCTCTCTGGTCTCTCTCTCTCTCTGGTCTCTCTCTCTCTCTGGTCTCTCTCTCTCTGGTCTCTCTCTCTCTGGTCTCTCTCTCTCTCTGGTCTCTCTCTCTCTCTGGTCTCTCTCTCTCTCTGGTCTCTCTGGTACCTCAGGCTGTAGTCGCGTGTCACTCCCAGCAGGGGGCGCAGCTGGTCCAGCTGGTGCAGGGTCTGCACCTGGACTCTCGGGGCCTGGTGAAGTCCTGAAACCAGATCGGTCTGGACCTGGTCTCGGTCCAGAGCAAGGAGGACCTGCTGCATGTGGAGGACGGTGGACAGACGAGATCGCTGCGAGTGCGAGAGCGCCACCTGCTGCTTCCTCTGCGCCTTCCTCTGAGCGCGCAGCAGCTGCAGGCGGGATCACAGGGGGCGGGATCACAGGGGGCGGGATCACAGGGGGCGGGATCACACGCACACATAAGATCACACACAAACACAGGAGGTCACACACACAGGTTGTGTTGCTTACGTTGTGCGTCAGTGCATCCAGTTTGTGTTGCAGCTCCAGAGCAAAGGACAAATGATGAGTCACCTCCTCGTATTTCAGCAACGAGGCCTGAGACACAAACACATGTGTGTGAGAGTCTGTGCGCGAGAGTTTGTGCGTGCGCCTGCGCGTGTCTTACCATCTGGTCCGGGTTCAGCTGTGCCCCATGGTTCAGCTTCAGTCTGTATTCCTCCAGTTTGATCTGAGACAAAAGACCATGGCACGTTCCACCTCATTTTACATAATCAAGAACCACAGACACACACAAGTCTGTCCAAAAT